CAAAGCTCCCCTTCCCTACTAGAGGCCTGGAAGGCACATATCTCTGGCAAGATGGTTAAGCATCAATCAAAGCTCCCCTTCCCTACTAGAGGCCTGGAAGGCACATATCTCTGGCAAGAAGTATGAATCAAGCTGACTCTCCACCGCAGAGAGAAATATCATGGCCCAGAGCTGCCTAGAAATGCAAGTGAATACTTTCTACCTCCACCAAGAGAGAAAGGTGATGGTAATATCTCAGCACCATGACCGCAGGCTAATAATGAGTCCTACGCAGAACAAAACCCACAGTTGTCTGATTCCACATCCTGGAGGAAAGCCAGTAAGTAAGTTTGGCTTTTCCAAAAGCTGAAAAAGGAGAATATTCCTATTTATTGAGAATACCATTTCAGAATTAGATGGAGGAAATACTTCCTGTTTGAAGTTGCTTTTGTATGTTGTTGTTGTTGTTGTTGTGTGCTATCATGTCAGACCTGACTCATAGCGACCTCTCCTTGGGTTTCCAAGACAGTATGACTAGGGAAGTAGATTGCCCAGCCTTCCTTCCGAGGAGTGGCTGATGGGTTTGAATCATCAGCCTTCTGGTTAGCAGTCAAGTGCCTTAGGCACTATGCTACCAGAGCTCCTAATGGATATATTTGCATATATGTTGGTGCTGTTGTCAGCTGCCATCAAGTCAGCCTCTGACTTATGGCAATCCTGTGGATGATGGAATAAAACACTGCCTGGTCCTGCACCATCCCCATGATTGGTTGCAGATCAGACCACTGTGATCCACAGGGTTTTCATTGGCTAATTTTCACAAATAGATCACCAGTCCTTTCTTCCTAGTCTGTCTCAGTTGAAGGTCCACTGGAACCTGTTCAGCATTATAAAAACACACAGGCCACCATTAACAGATGGGTGGTGGTTGCACATGAGCTACCTTGATTGGGAATCAAACCCTGCATGGAAGATGAGAATTCTACCACTGAACTACAAATGCCCTGAATTTATATAGACAGTCTAAAATGTTTTGGAATATAAAAGAATCTCATTTTCTCCAAGCAAACCCTAATTCATGCATGTATGACAACAAATGCTGACTCTGCTTCAGAAAATTAATATATTGTATCCTCATGGTTCCTAATCCACTGTTTAAGTTAACCATTCTCCCTTTGGAAGAAGACAGTGTTCCTCAAATAGATGCTTAACAACCAACAATACCTACAGCTCATGCATCTCCTTAGAACTCCAGATTGGTGCATCCTGCTGTATACTTGAATTCTCCACATCTCAAAATCAACAACCTCCAAACTACGTTTCTGAACTTTGCCCCCAAATCCTACTCCATCCACCACATTCCCACCTCAATTAATGGCAATCTCAGGCTTCTAGTGGTACAGGCATATTTCTTAATTATCCTTTGACTCCCATTCTCTCCCCTAAAACTCCAATCCCCCCAGGATGTTTACCAGCTCCCTGGTATAGAACTTGTGCACAGAGCAAACCCACATTTTCTCCATCCTGCTCATGACTCAGCACCTAGCATTCTTCCATGAACCATGAACCATGAACCATGCTAAGGTTCCAAGTGAAGATAAGCATCCTTTGTGTGCTGGTAAACTAGGAAACAGAGAGTTGATGTTAAGTGCTGGGAAACATTGGCTCAAAGAGAACAAATGGCAAACTATAAACACTGGTCATTAAAATACTGGTTCAAACAGAATAGGTCCCAAGTCAAGTCATGCCCTCCCCAAACATGCACACAGCACAGTTAAGCACTGGTATAAAGGGCTAGAGGTACAACTTGTCTCAGCCTCATTCCCTCCAGGCTAACTGACTGATATGGAGACAAGCAAGGACAACACTGTTCCATCATGAACATAAAACACATACCATTTTTATCACCTAGGAGTCCCTGGATGGTGCAAGTTGTTCCCTACTAATAAAAGTTATTCACTGCCATCTAGTCAGATCCAACTCACCGTGACCCCTCCTTGAGTTTCTGAGGTGTTGCTGTTGTTGTTATGTGCCATTGAGTTGGACCCGACTCATAGCAACCCCTCCTTGGGTTTCCGAGGCAGTATCACTATGAAAGTAGATTGCCCAACCTTCCTTCCGAGTAGTGGCTGGTGGGTTTGAACCGCCAGCCTTCTGGTTAGCAGTCAAGTGCCTTAGGCACTATGCTACCAGAGCTTCCTTCTGAGGTGGTATCTCCATGGAAACAGATTGCCCAATCCTCCTTCGAAGAGTGACTACTGAGTTTGAACCACCAGCCTTCTGGTTAGCAGTCAAATGGCTTAAGCACCATGCCACCAGAGATACAGCCTCAGAAACTCATGGAGGGGCCGCTGTGAGTTGGATCCTACTCAATGGCAGTGAGTAATAAAGGTTGGTTTATACCCACACAGCGGTGCCACAGAAGAAAGTCCTAGTGATCTGCTTCTGTAAAGATTAAAGCCAAGAAAGCCCAATGGAACAGTTCTGCTCTGTAACACAAGGAATCACCATGAGACAGAATCAACTTTTCAGTAACTGGTTTGGAGCCCCAAGGAGATGCAAATAGTTAAGGCACTCAACTGCTAACCAAAAGGTTAAAAGTTCTAGTCCACTAAAAGGTGTCTTGGAGGAAAGACCTGAATGATCTACCTCTGAAAAACTATTGGAAATCCTATGGAAGACAGTTCTACTCTAACATATATGATGTCACCACGAGTCAGTGTCTACTTGATGGCAACTAGTATGGCATGTATACCAAGATACAAGTTTTAAATAGGCAGAAATTTCCAAAAACAGGGAAAAAATATCTAGCTCACCTGATGAGGATGCCTGCTGCTGTGTTGTTCTGGACCATTGAGTTCATAGGACTTTGGAGGGAGAGAGGAAATCTCTGTAACAGAGAGTGGCTTTAGAATGACAGTGACGAAAACCAAGCTATGCATTCTAAGAATTCTGATTTATAAAAAAATACATTTGCTCTTATTTATTATCCATACCTTAAAATAGGGATCTCTGGTGGTATAGTGCCTAAGGCACTTGACTGCTTATCAGAAGGCTGGAGGTTCAAATCCACCAGCCACTCCTTGGAAGGAAGGTTGGGCAATCTCCTTCCGGAGTGATACTGCCTTAGAAACCCAAGAAGCGGTTGCTATGAGTCGGATCCAATTGGACAGCAGTGTTTTGTTTTTATCTTAAAATAATCCTTAATCATAAAAAGCTATTTTTAAAAAATCCCTAGAGGGTACATAATTTTACAACTTTATTCATTTAATTGAAACAAAAAGATGGCAAACTGACTCAAAATCATTTCCTTTTTTGACACATTAATCACATCTGACACATGAAAAATCCATAGGTTTAGTGGCTGACCAAAGAAAATAAACACAGGGCAAATTTAAGAAAGTGAGGAAGAAGGGGGTTGTTTTGGTCAAGATTTTGAACATGTTACTTGATTGATTATTCTGAATACAAATAATTCCATAATCATTCACAGGAAATTTTGCAAGAAGCTGTGTTCAGATTATCAAAGAACACAGAACATGTTTTATGAAATTCTTTAAAATCTGAAGGATATTATTTAGAATATACATGAGAGGCTTCTTGTTGCTAGCTTCTATGGACTCAACCTCCAACTCATGACTACTCCAGGCACCATGGGATTGGACTGTTGTGATCCATAAGGTTTTCACTGGCTGATTTTCAGAAGTAGATTGCCAGATCTTGCCTCTTAGTCTATCTTATTCTGGAAGGTCTGCTAAAACTTGTTCATTATCACAGCTTGTGTGTACACACTTGTGTGTACAAGCCTCCAATGACAGAAATGTGGTCTGTCACATAAAGCGCTATTGGCTGGGAATCAAACCTAGGTGAGAACTCTACCTCTGAATCACCATTGCCCTTACATGGGAGGCAGCTGTGGTGAACTAAAAAGAATGTTGTCGTTGTTGTTGTGTGCCCTCGAGTCAAACCCGACTCATGGCGACCCCTCCTTGGGTTTCCGAGGCAGTATCACTACGGAAGTAGGATTGCCCAACCTTCCTTCCAAGGAGTGGCTGGTGGGTTTGAACCGCCAGCCTTCTGGTTAGCAGTCAAGTGTCTTAGCCACTATGCTACCAGAGCTCCCAAAAAGAATAGGGCTGTTGAAAACAGATTCTCAGACTTCTGGTAAGATGGTGGCATAGGCATACAAGCTACAGAGACCTTCAACAAAGAAAAGACAGAGCAGTTGACACAGATACAGAAGATAATGTTGGAGCCCTGAGCTTTGAAAATAGATTCTCAACCTTAGTTTTTTAAAAAATATGTTTTTCCAGGCTACCCAGCAGGGGTTGAATGGCTGAAAATATTTCCATGAAATTTGCTTTGCCAGGGAATTTTAACAAGAAGCCAGCCTCCCATTAAGACTGCTAAAGAGTACAGTCTCCCCTTCTCATCCTAACAAGGAACCTAGGTTCAAATCCTACCCCTGCAGCTTACTAGTAACATTGCCTTCAATTGCACACCTCCCCAAGAGGGGAGGAGAGGGAAAAGTCCTAGATGGGTTGAAAAAATATATATATTTATATAGAAACCAAAGATTATTAGTGGTTACCAGGGGTAGGAGGGAGGGGGTAAGGGGAGCTTTTGCTTGCAGGGCTTTGAGTTTATGCTAATGGTGGTGGAATATTTTGGAAAAGGATAGCAATAATGGTGGCACAACATGAAAAATGTCATCAATGTCCCTTATCTGTAAATGTGGAAGTTGTTATGCTGGTGAATATCTTGTTGTGTATGTTTTCACCACAGTAAAAGTAAAATAAAAATAAAGGTTCTATGATCATCCATGAAAAGAAAAAAGAGTGAGAGAGCTGCACACCTCCCCACCCCTGGTTATGATTCTACACCCTATAAAGGTTGGAGACAAGATTGTACAAAAAAAACTTTCCAAAATTGGGTTGTAAATCCGAATAGGAACAGATTTCTTGCTGAGTGTCAGTTTTATTCTGATCTAGTGAAGTTCTGGGGAAATTACTCCCAGGGTATTAAGGTGCCTCCTCATACACTATAAGATATAAGCAGGCTCACAAAAAAAGGAAAGCAAAAAAGAAAAAAAAACTATAAATATCTTTTAAAATTCTAAGGTTTCCACCTGAGTTTATTTTAAGCTTTAAACAAGCAGGTGAATTTTTGGAGTTATTCTATGCCTAGAATATTCCTAGTGCTAGAATTTCTTCTTCTTCTAAAAATTACTCAAAAGCAATGACCATGAATCCCTCTGGTATCTGCCTTGTGAAATTGGTGTTTAGCCAGTCTCTCTTCCAACACCCATCATTCTCTTGCCCAACATGTCCACTCACTTGTCATCCTTGAGTCATCTGAGCTGTATCCATAGTTTTCATTTCCACTTTTTATCTTTGTCTCAGTCGTTTCCTTATTTGTTTTCACACTTGCAGATTTCCTAGAATTAGATCATTTTAAGAAGTAAAATGTTAAATAGCAATGAATATTTGGTTCACACTGCTATGCTCAAAGCATCTTGATACTTAGAACTTCTGACAAGTGCACAGCTTGGTCACTGCCTTCTCAGGAGTTGTTAAGCATTGGAACAGAAACTCCTAGCCATAGCAGCCCATCATGAGGAAAGAAGGAACATGACAGTTTCCTGGACTCCAATGACCGAAGAAAGCAGAGGTTGGCAAATTATGACCCAGAAGTCAAATCTAGTTCACTGTCTATTTTTGTGAAAAAAAGTTTTATTGAAATGCAGCCACACTTACTCACTTTCGTAATGTCTAGGGCTGCTCTCCTGTTACAACAGCAGCATTGAGTAGTTGTGAGAGAGACCACATGGCTTGTCAAAAGCAAAAATATTTACTATCTGGTCCTTTAAATGGTGCTGCTTCCTAGGGGAAGGAAATTTGGCTACGGATACCACCAGAAACAAAAACCCACTGCCATTGAGTTGATTCGAACTCATACTCTACAGGACATAGTAGAACTGCCCTATAGGGTTTCCAAGGCTATAAATTTTTATAGAAACAGACGACTTCATCTTTCTCCCATGGAGCAGCTGGTGAGTTCAAACCACCAACCTTTTGGTTAGCAGCTTAATGCTTTAACCACAGTGCCACCAGAGCTCTTTTGGCAATGGAAATACATTTAAACCAGAAAATGAATAAAGACCAGAGGAAGCAAGATAAGGGCAGTTCACTATGCTAACACATGCCATTTGCTAGAGCTCTACATGGAAAAGGGTCCAGGCACTGGAGCAGAGCTGACCAAATCATGTTCTGACCCTTCCACTTTCTGGATGGTAGCTTTGTTTCCTCATCTACAAAATAAACAAAAGACTCATAAAATCACTGTGAGAATTAAATAAGATACAAACATCTACAAAGCTTAGAAACCATACCTGGCAGTAAGGGATGCAATCTATGCTAGCTATTATCACCACTACTGTTGTCATTATTATTGCTATCCTTAATTATAAACATTGATTTTTAATGAATTTTAATTAAGTATCATTAATATTAGGAGTCTGAGTGGTGCAAGTAGTTTGTGATCAGCTGCTAACCCAAAGGTTGGTGGTTCAAATTCACCCAGTAGTACCATAAAAGAAAGGCCTGGGGATCTGCTTGCATAAAGATTACAGCCAAGAAAACCTTATGAAGCATGCCTACTGTGTAGCACATGGGGTCACCATGACTTGGGGACTTACTTGATAATAGCTAACAACAACAATAATAATATATTATTATTACTCTCTACCCACTTCCCTGAATAGCTATTGTTCACTGCACCGTGAAATCACGTATGACCCCAGAACAGAAATGGAAGATGATGGCTCAGTCAAGAATGGTCACCTCAAGGATCGGGATGGGATCTTGCCAGTGACAGCAATCAAAAGAAAAGCCAGAATAATTATTGAGGTCAGTTTTCTCTTTCTGTAGTCTCGTTCCAAATGACGTGTGTTTTCAGATTGCTTGGCTTTGCTGCTTCATGGTGTCCTCAGAGGGCAGCCACCTCTCTCAAAACTGTATTGTTACTTGGGAGTAATTGAGGTCAGAGGGAAAATGAATAGTGCCTGTCACATGATGACTGCACACATCCTCATTCACAATGTGTAGCTTAAAGTGTTTTAAAATCTCAATCTTTAAAAAATGAAAGTAATGAAATACTAACAACTATGTGATTTTGTTATAACACCCCAATGACACCACAGTCTAAAAGTGCCTCTCCTTCCTGTATTTGTGATTATGTAAACTTTGCATATATTTCAGTTGCATATGATTATAAGCCCTTGACTGAGTTATCTCAAAAGTGCTTGCAGATACTTCTAGGTGATGGGGGAAGGACATGAGTTTTTTCACTTACATTGGTTGGTTATCCATGCAGTGGATACCCAAGCATTGACACTAACTGATGGGTAAACCTGGTCAGCCCCACGTGCTTTTAGGTATCCATGTAGTTTCACTATTCTCCACTGACCTAGAAATTCTAACAGGGTCTCTACCTAGTTCTTTTGTTGTTGTTGTTGTTGTTATGTGCCGTCGAGTCGGCCCCGACTCATAGCGACCCCTCCTTGGGTTTCCGAGGCAGTATCACTACAGA